CTTATTTGATAATATATATATATATATATATATATATATATATATATATATATATATAAAAGCTTAATTGTTTGAAAGCTCTAAACTATGTTTAGATCTATTATAGCATACTCATTTGATTTAATTAATTATATATATTAAATGAACATAAAAGAGTAATTATATAATTTGTTATATTGATGACAACTCATAAATATAACAGACTATCAGCGGAAGGTAGGTGGGATATGGAGGTTTTGTTGGCGGGAACAGATGGGGTGGTCGACGGTTGGTGAAATGAGAGGAAAACTGGATCTAGGCGCCGATGAAATTAAGGTTGAGGGAATGAGAATATAAATATGAGGAATATAAATATAGAGGTGGGTTATTATACAACCTTTTACATTTATACAACCAATACAACTCAATCTCAACCGTCCCTTTAATTTGATTAATATGTAATTTTATAGAAGTTTTGATTGTTTCATAATATAAAGTATTGATCATAATTAATAAACCGTATTCATCTTCCATAAATATTTAAATACTAATAAATGAACTTTCATCATTTCTATAAATATTTCAATTTATTGGGTTCCATTGATTGTACAAATGCGATGGGTTGCATTTGAAACAAACACTATAAATATATTGTTTAGGAGTTGTCATTAATATAACGAATTCCATAATTACGATTTATATTTATTTAATGAATAAGATTAATTAAATTATTGGAATAAAATTGATCTTACAAATTCCACATATTTTAATCCATCTATCTCGTGTACGGTACTCTACAATTCCATTAGATATCACGTAAGTTATAAGATTCTCATTTTCTTAAAAGCATACCTCTTTTATTTATCACATAGACGTACCTAGAGGGGTGGTTAGGTGGCACGTGCCACTGTATTGTTCCTCCGTTGTAAGGTAAAAAAAAATTAGGTTCATGAAAAATGTAACCGTTTTATTCTAGAAGGTGCAACTATTTTATAGGGTACCATCCACATTAGATTTTTTTTATAAACTCACAATGTAGCAAGATAAATCTTAATTTTAATTATTTATTTTTATTGATATAATAAAATTTTATATGGATTTGAGAAAACGATAATGTTTTTATTTTTGAATGAATTATAAATTTGAATAGAACATAATAATTTGAAAATAAAATAAATCAATAGTAGTATCAAATTAACTATTTTATAGTTCTAGTTTTTTTGGTGTAACTTTTTTAATTCAGTTTTTTATTATATTTTAATTTAGATTTAATAGCAAATGTATTTTTGCTTTAATAATATAATTTCTTTATAAATATAATAATTTAACATTCTTAGAACTCAACGATTATCTTAATTATATTTTAATTTTTTCTATATTTAAAATAAATGTTTATTATGTATTTCATTATATTTATCTGCAGTTAGTTACACAAATTTAAAAATGTAGCTTTAATAAGTTGTATTTATGCAAAATTACTTGTAATCTTGAATTTTAAGTAATATGCATCAATAGACAGTACTTCATGCATAAGTAATGGTTTTTAAAAGTTTTTGTCAAACGTTTTATGATATAGTATAGATATATTCATTTATTTATTTATAAATTAAACTCATTAAAATGAAATAAATAAAACTTGTATAAAAAAGCTATCCAAAGAAATGATGAATGCTTCAAAATAAAAAATATATATATATTTTAAAATTATTACATTATAAAATTTAATATTAATATTAATTTATATATTATAATTATGTTTTACAAATTGATTTAAAATATAATAAAATGATTAAAAAAAAAACAAGACAAGTTGGATTCTTGTTCAAGGACGCGGCTTTTTATTAAGGATCCGTGGCTCGACAAATACATGTGATGATAGTGAAGGTTATTGTAAGAAGCTTCCAAAAGAATATGTCAAAAACCTCTTATTATAAAATGCTTTAACGGGCTGTTTACCAAACTTTTATTTGGGTAAGAGCTTACCGAGTCACATTAACTTAACGGATGAATGCAGTAAGAACCACGAATCTATACCTAGTAAGAGCGAGGCAAGAAAAAGAGTCTTACCCGATAAGTGAGGGCGATGACTCTTACCATGGTAAGCGCTTACCAGGTAAATTGTTGCATACAATGTCGTTTTCGTGAACTAAAATCTTATCAGGTAAGTAAATGATAATGTTGAATTTTACCGGTAAACGTTTACCGGTTAAGTGTTTGGTAAACGGCCCCTACGTAATATATAATTTTGTGTGACGTAAACTAATGTAAAGATACACTAAAGAGCACAATGATGTACAGGTAGGGGTGCTCATGAGTTAGATTGATCGGGTTGAAGACATTTAAACAACTCAATCTAATATTTACAGTTTGAAAAATCTTAACTCAACCCAACCCGAACCAAAGTGCAACCCAACCCGTACGGGTTGGTCGGGTTAGTCGGGTTGATACTTTGGTACGTTGAAATATTCTTCTAACCTAGAATATGTTATTTCTCTACTCATAATTTATTTTTCATCATCAATCATTTGATACAACTTATCCATACTTCTTACGTATATCACATTCAATTAATTTTCTCAATTTACATATATATGTTCACAATTATTGAACATATAAACGAATAAGTTATATAAAGATGTGAATAGATTGAAAATATGCATGTGTATATGAAGAGCATATATGATAGTGTAATTGTCTAATATACATATTAATAGAAATTCAACAATCATATTAAATCCAAAAAATAAAAGGATATCGGGTTTATCGGGTTGAGTTCAAATAATAGTAACTCAATACCTACGGTTTGACAGTTTTACAACTCGATTAGACATCGGGTTGAGTTATTTCGTGTTGGGTTGGGTTGGATTGATCGGGTTGTTGAGCACCCCTATGTACTGGGACTTGGGTGGGAAAGTATAATTAATTAAAATACTCATTTTCGATTTGTGGATTCATCACTAGGTCCGTAATTTACATGGTGGTCAAAGAAGTTTATGAACCAAGTCCGTAAGTACATGGACCAAATATATAAATAGATATTGATCCACAAGTTATTTACAGATCTGGTACATGAACTTGCAGATTTGGTTTAAAAACATTTTTTTTACACTTTGATTACAGATCTGGTTCGTGCACTTAAAAAACTTGGTTTAGAATTTTTTTTTTATATTTTGATCTCTTCATAAATTACGGACCTACCATTTACAGTATCTAACGACTTTAGAAGAGAAATAACTAAAAGATTAAATCATTTGAAAATAAGGGGTTGTTTGGCAGTTAATGAATGATTTAGTGCAGAATGATTAAGTGATCAGAATGATCAAGAAACTCTCATGATATAGTGAAAAATGAAATATATTTGTTTGGTAATTGTTTACAATGAAACTAGGGCGCTTAACTGTTAAGGGAGACCCATGATACAAAATCATTCAGAGAGTTTTATAACCATTAAGAGGCAATTTTTTTTTGCTAAACAAGATTCACCTCTTAACCTCTTAATGATACAGAGGTTGCCTCTTAATGAAACTGTTAAGAGGTAGACAAACAATTTCTAACTATTTTAATTAATGGCTCGTAGGCAAAATTAATTATATACCAAACAAATTACTGGTACATAATCAATTTGAATTTGTTATAATTTCATTAAAAAAGGCTACTTTATAATACATATTAAAATAAGTTTGAAACATAAAAATAAAATGTATTATATATATACTAGAAGAGTACTCATATAATGCAGCGAGAT